CTTATCAGTGGAGGGGTTTATAAGCGGCAGTTTACGCATACGGTATTACGTTTTATAAAATAAAACTGTATCATTGGATAATGCCGCTCAAGAGTTTTCATTGGCTAAGGTATCATGGTATATGATCCATTATACCACGCTCTACATGGTATAATGGCTCACCGCGCTAGTGGAATAATTGTTAAATACTGACTGGGTAGCTTTGGCACTGCTTTGGCACTGCTTTCGCCGGACCAACGTTTTCATCACCAATTCAAATGAAGTGTTATACGCCAAGTAATGGACTCCTGTGAAGACGCAGTTTGTTATATCCTGTTTGACTAGTTCATGTTGGGAACAATTCAACTGAATTTCAGATACGGTGAATGCGTTTCTTAATCTGGTCTTTCCTTAGCATAAAGTCTTGCATTTTGTTGATAAGCCCAGTATAAAACCCAGAGGTATTAAATGACGGTTAGTTATCATGGTTATATCCGAGGGAAAGGTAGACTACGAGTAGCCCCTCTTTCGCTTAGTCAGTCGTGCGTGACGCGAAAGAAAATCGCGAGAAAAAAAATGGCCGCGCGAAATCCTGGGGGCGAGGAGCTCCTTTCGCGCGCTCCTCGTCTCCAGGTTTTCGCGCGGCCATGTTTTTCTCGCGGTTTTCTTTCGCGTCACGCACGACTGACTAAGCGAAAGAGGGACTACTCGTAGTCTAAGGGAAAGGTATTTCAGTGGGATCGATATAGCGAGGAGTTCGAAGCACCGAGGTTAAACTGTAATAGAGACGGGAAAATGTGAGGCCTTTTAAAGGGTGTGAATTTTACGTATCTGAGGACTTTCTGGGTTAGAAATTTTGTGGTGCCTTGTTACAATTTGGGGTGCAAAATTTTCTTGAGGACTGACTGGACCTGACTGCAGTTAGCCAATGCAACAATTTATGGCAGACGAATGATGAATAAGGAAAGGTGGACCCAAAAACGGTCTGGAACTTTTACTATGTAGAAAAAAAAGAATAATTGGGGGGATTATGTTTTGGGCCGTGTGCCTTTTGGGGGATCTGGTTCTAGCCCAATTGGACTTTCCAGTTTCTAACTTCTCTAAGGGATGTAATAGATTTCCTAGCAAGTTCATCTCAGTCGTTGGCTTTACACTGCTGCTGAATTTTTTTTTTTTTTCGTGATTTTAGTGCACGGGCCTGTATGACCTCTATTTGCTAAAATATGACGCAACAAAGAAAGGAAACAGTATTTTCGTGAGTCGCTTAAACGAGTCTTTATTTACCATTATTCTCCAGTATTGGGCCTTGGAACCCGTTTCTCGAAGGTCCCGAAAAGTTTTCGCACCCAGAAAGCCGTAGCAAAATCTGGAACCTTATGATTACAGAACTGTTTTATTCACGTAATCGTAATTAACATAAACAGAGGTTCCCTTCAAACAGGAAGTTTCAGGCGTATACACTTCTCCGTTTTAAGATACAGATGAACTTAGAATGGCTTTACGGGCCCGAAAAGTTTCCGGAGCTTTCGAGAAACGGGCCCCTGGGCAGAAAAAGAAGTACACTGTTCAGCCTTTTTTCGTTTATCTTACAAAGAAATAGAATTTTGCAACCCGGCTATAGAGTCAAAGTTGTTACCATCTAGCGACTCAAAAATTTTTTTATTTTTGTTTTACAACACATTCCTTTCTAATTCCGTTCATAGAATTCGTCTGTTTATGGTCTCTTCATACATGCATCTTATTTGTCTGTAAAAAGAAATGTTTACAGGCAAGCTTAAGATCCCTTTAGGGAGCTTAAGAAAACCACAACGGCAACGGCAACGGCAAAGTCGCTAAACAAAAGATTTAATGAGCAGAACAACGGCTGTGCACGCGCATAATAATTCTTAGTACATTCTTTGCCTTCCTCTAATAATAATAATAAAAATAATAATAATAATAATAATAATAATAATCTTTATACAGGAGGCTCCTCTGACTAATGTAGTTTTCAGGGAGGTCCTGAAATAAAACTGATGGCAATCAAAAAATTAAATTAAACCAAAATTATTACAGCGTTGATAAAAACACTAAAAGCTAAAAAATATATAACTAAAGATATATAAAGTTGAAACATTGAAACTCGTAGTAAAATATAAAAATATAAAACAACAACGTGAAATGTCCAAATTCTGCGTTGTCTGAAGAACGTGAACCACGACGGTGGTGGACGGAAGGAATTTGCATGCCTTGTGTTGTAACAGTCGATTTGGTTGTTTCGCGAATAGATTTTCAAATTTTAGAGGTAGAATAGAGCTCCTGAACGAAAATGTACTGAAACTTACCTAGTTATTCCAAATTAAATGATTACCGTGAAGCTTCAGCAAGTTTCTCTGAGCAAGTTTAAAATTTTCTTTAAAAAAGGTTTGGCGTGAGCATCATGACTGCACGTTTTTGTAAAATTACAATGCTTTGGAGTGTTTTTTTTTTTCATAGAGATTGATCCTTAAACATTGGTATTATGGTTATTTTCCTAGGTATTGAAATCACCCGGAGCGAAGCTTAATATCCAACAAAATTTGCTTTCAGCGAATAAAGTGCAAAATACGCAGACGACCGTGTTCTCCTCGGCAAAGAAAATCAGAACATTCATTAATAAGAATTCTAAGAAAGTTGAAAGCCAGATTTTTACAAAATGAAAAGCAATTTTCTTTTCTCAGCTGATATCTTTAAGCGGAAAACGACTCGTTACGTCGATAACTATATGTGGCTATATTTGCTCACCAAACAGTACGCAAGCCATTTATTGCAACCTATATCCAGTAAAACTGCTATCCTTAGACAGTCAGCCAACATTTCGGTTAAATTAAAAATAATCAAGACTCACATTCAAAGTAAGTTTGTAAGCTTCACAAGCTAAGATCTTAATTTTTTGCGGAACTTCTCTTTAAAATTCCCGTAAAATTAAGAAATTCTATAAGTTCATCCTCACCCACTAACCTAAAAGATCCAACAGGCTACTATAGACAATACCATCAATAACTGATGCTTGTTTTGAGTGAGTCTTCAACCTGTGTACACATTACATTTGCGATATCCTGGCGATATCAGTCCGTGAAAGTAGCGCCTCGAAGTACATGCTAAAAGGGTTGCCACTTTCAGAATTTTATTGAGAGTGAAAGAGCAAAAAGTAGAACAACAGTACAATAATAGGCCTTGGCAAAATCTTTCACGTTCGGGTCAATTTCAACACAATATTTCTTTTTGTTTTTTGCGAAGCACAGTTGGTCGTATTAACGGGGTGGTCGTATTAACGAGGTAGGGTCACATTATGATGCAACACGCCGTAAACATGTCCTGCACATGAATACCTTTAATTCCGCTATAATCACCCTTTTTTACAATTATTCTTCAACCTTACAACAGCAATTCATTGCAACTGAACAAAACCGAGTACATGTAATGCGAAAAAACAATGACGTCTTTCAGTTCTTCAACACGATATGGCCTCTTGTGAAATGTCCGTTAGAACCGTTATTTGTCACATTGTCTGTCTTCATTCAGCTTCCTCACCAGTCAATTTAACCGGTCGTATTAACGGGGTAATTTTGTAATTTCAGATAGAAGAATGTCTGGGCTTTTGCTCGGACCGTAAAAAAGTGGTCGTAATAAAGGGGTGGTCGTAATAAATGGGTGATCGTATGCCAGTCGTCCACTGTACTTTTTGTCCGATTACTGTATGGCCGGGTTTGAATCGGTCCCATAAAGGCGATTCAGAAATAAACAAAATCAGTTTTCATCTTTAATTCGAATCAATTTAGAATTATATACTTTGTATTTGATTTTAATTGTACTGACTCCAAAAAAAATGTGATTTTGTGAGATAATCTACTTACATTTTAACCACCTTTCCTTCCGATACAAGTAACAAACAAAATCTTACGAGGACATTAGTAATTATTTAAACAGCTACAGGGAAGTATTTGCTCAAGAACGGGCAGCTTTTATGAAAACCTCCGGTACAGTCTTCACGCCGCAACCTGATCAAACATGAAAGACAAAAGAAAAATACACAATTTAACAGAACAAATATCGCTGAAAAACCGATTGTAATCGAAAAGAAATTTAAGGGTGGACAGCTCGCTAAATTAATCCCACAAGCGATGTTTTGAATGGTTATAACTGAAACTGTTTGCAATACCTCGAGAAGAAATAAAAAAAAAGAAAAAAATTTTACCGTTTAGATTGCCCGCCTTCCCTTCTACCTCCTCCGCCAAAAACACAGTCGCCTGAGTTTCACACCCTCATTGTATTTCAGTCACCGGGGTCTGTTGATTGCAGTTCGGTTTTCGACAGTAAACAAATAAAAACCATTTCGTTACGTAACACTGCATTGGAACTGCTAACCTTAGCCATAATCTTACCTGTATATATCAGTATTAACATTCAGAACCAGTAAACCTGCTGTAGCACCCTTTACAATAAGTATTAACAACGTTTCTTACTTGAAAAAATTTAAAACTAATGACAAGTCGCGAACTAACCGTGGGGTTTTCTTTACGAGGAGAGGGGGGGTGACGTAATAAACATTATACTGTTCCAAAATGATAAACCCTTAACGCATATTTTTAACAGAAAAGCTAACCCTTTTCCGTGCCTTCCATTAAAGATAATGGGCTTTCATAGACGATAGAAATGCTCCATGTCGTTTCAAAATTTTCTCTAGATTTAATTTACCTCAAATTCAGTTTAGATGAGTTGGTGCAAGATATCATGAAAGGTCCTTTTAAATACTCAAATGGCAGTTTTCCCAACCATTCCTTACTCTAGAGCTGGTAAAATCTCTACTCTTGTATATACCTAAAGCCTGACAACAGCAATCCTTTCCGAGAGAGCCTCTCCATATGGTGCTCTATATGGAGTGCCCCCTCCTCCGAATGACTGAACTAACCAGTAGCAATTGAACTGGCTATAGAAATTAATAAGGTTTATTCACCATAAATATGGGGGCAATGTTATGGTAACTTTTACAAACACCAACAATGGCGATAGAAGTCTTCCTGGACAAAGACTTAAAGGCAAAGTTTACCTGCTTTTTTCAAAATCGAGTCTCGGAAGCCACAAACATCTGAAAGGTGGAGTTTTCACAAGTTGTTCAGGTTAGCACAAAGCTGGTTATAAAAGACGTTACAGTCGACAACTTCAATTGCAAAATCCGAACCGAACTAGTATTCAACATGTTGTGTTCCATTTTGTTGGCCGTTCTTGCCTCCCAGGTCATTGTCCCTGCAGCAGACGATGACGAGAGCAATGCTATAGAGAGTGATATCTTCTCGATATTATGTTGTTTGTTTTTTCAACTCCTTGCAAAGTTATAGCTAGCCTGTGTTTGGCAACTTTTAAGCTTTTTTTCTCCTTTTTGATCAATTCTAAAAGCAATTCAAACGTTCCAGCGTAGACAGATTCAGAAGATTATCTTTAAACTCAGTTTCGTTTCAGTTAAGAGGTTGCTTGTCTGGTTGCTGCAAATTTTGAAAGTGTCTGGAACCAAAAACACCCGTTCCTAGAGAAAACATCAGTTTTAAGGTATAGTTTTCTCCTTTTTTTCTTTCACAGAATTTTCTGAGCCAGTACCGCTATATATCTCCCTCGCGTTCAGGAAATCATGACGTGGAAACAGCCATCAGAAAATTCCAAGAGTTCACTGGTCTGCCCGTGACTGGCACTGAGTTAGATGAGGCCACTATTGCACAGACAAAGAAGCCACGTTGTGGAATGCCTGATGTTGATGAAGAAGGCCGCGTGAAGAGGTTTAAGACTGGGTCCAGATGGAGCAAGAAACACTTGACGTACTTTGTTGAGCATGGAGTAGATTTGGACCATTCCACTCAAGACGCGGTGTTTGCCAAAGCACTGAAATACTGGGCTGATGTATCAGGACTGTCTTTCTCCAAAGCTTCCAGCGCTTCCTCTGCTGACCTTAGGAACAGGTGAGCATACTTGTAACATTTAGCACATTAAACAGTACAACGTGAAAGTATTTCTCAATAGGTATCATTCAAATGATCATATTAAGTTATAGGGATTCACTGACTTAACTGATGGAATTATTTCGCATGTACCCCATGCATGATTTGCTTTAGCTGACGCCAGTAAAATGGTAATAGAACTTTATGAGACATGACCTGGAGTAAAGACTTCCTCTGGCCTTCTTAGATTATCGAGCCAGTAAAGAAATTGGAAGAGCATGGTGATTTCTCACGTCATGTTAGCTTAGAGCACGCAAAAATTATCACCACAAAAATCATGTACTTAGCAACAACTCTAAGTCTGTTAAGGCGGAGCTCTCTCAATATACTTTCACTGTTTCTTTCTGGATTCTTAGCTTTGGAAGTAAAACTCATGGTGGAACGTCTGAGAGAACATTCGCCTACCCATTCGACGGAAAAGGCAGCGTCCTCGCACACGCCTTCTTCCCCTCAGACGGCCGTTCACACTTTGACGAAGATGAAAGATTCACCGATGGAACATCAAGTGGTACAAGCCTTCTGTGGCCGGGGTTGCTACACATGAATTCGGTCACTCACTTGGTATCCATCACTCTGATGTCAGAAATGNATTCGTCTGTTTATGGTCTCTTCATACATGCATCTTATTTGTCTGTAAAAAGAAATGTTTACAGGCAAGCTTAAGATCCCTTTAGGGAGCTTAAGAAAACCACAACGGCAACGGCAACGGCAAAGTCGCTAAACAAAAGATTTAATGAGCAGAACAACGGCTGTGCACGCGCATAATAATTCTTAGTACATTCTTTGCCTTCCTCTAATAATAATAATAAAAATAATAATAATAATAATAATAATAATAATCTTTATACAGGAGGCTCCTCTGACTAATGTAGTTTTCAGGGAGGTCCTGAAATAAAACTGATGGCAATCAAAAAATTAAATTAAACCAAAATTATTACAGCGTTGATAAAAACACTAAAAGCTAAAAAATATATAACTAAAGATATATAAAGTTGAAACATTGAAACTCGTAGTAAAATATAAAAATATAAAACAACAACGTGAAATGTCCAAATTCTGCGTTGTCTGAAGAACGTGAACCACGACGGTGGTGGACGGAAGGAATTTGCATGCCTTGTGTTGTAACAGTCGATTTGGTTGTTTCGCGAATAGATTTTCAAATTTTAGAGGTAGAATAGAGCTCCTGAACGAAAATGTACTGAAACTTACCTAGTTATTCCAAATTAAATGATTACCGTGAAGCTTCAGCAAGTTTCTCTGAGCAAGTTTAAAATTTTCTTTAAAAAAGGTTTGGCGTGAGCATCATGACTGCACGTTTTTGTAAAATTACAATGCTTTGGAGTGTTTTTTTTTTTCATAGAGATTGATCCTTAAACATTGGTATTATGGTTATTTTCCTAGGTATTGAAATCACCCGGAGCGAAGCTTAATATCCAACAAAATTTGCTTTCAGCGAATAAAGTGCAAAATACGCAGACGACCGTGTTCTCCTCGGCAAAGAAAATCAGAACATTCATTAATAAGAATTCTAAGAAAGTTGAAAGCCAGATTTTTACAAAATGAAAAGCAATTTTCTTTTCTCAGCTGATATCTTTAAGCGGAAAACGACTCGTTACGTCGATAACTATATGTGGCTATATTTGCTCACCAAACAGTACGCAAGCCATTTATTGCAACCTATATCCAGTAAAACTGCTATCCTTAGACAGTCAGCCAACATTTCGGTTAAATTAAAAATAATCAAGACTCACATTCAAAGTAAGTTTGTAAGCTTCACAAGCTAAGATCTTAATTTTTTGCGGAACTTCTCTTTAAAATTCCCGTAAAATTAAGAAATTCTATAAGTTCATCCTCACCCACTAACCTAAAAGATCCAACAGGCTACTATAGACAATACCATCAATAACTGATGCTTGTTTTGAGTGAGTCTTCAACCTGTGTACACATTACATTTGCGATATCCTGGCGATATCAGTCCGTGAAAGTAGCGCCTCGAAGTACATGCTAAAAGGGTTGCCACTTTCAGAATTTTATTGAGAGTGAAAGAGCAAAAAGTAGAACAACAGTACAATAATAGGCCTTGGCAAAATCTTTCACGTTCGGGTCAATTTCAACACAATATTTCTTTTTGTTTTTTGCGAAGCACAGTTGGTCGTATTAACGGGGTGGTCGTATTAACGAGGTAGGGTCACATTATGATGCAACACGCCGTAAACATGTCCTGCACATGAATACCTTTAATTCCGCTATAATCACCCTTTTTTACAATTATTCTTCAACCTTACAACAGCAATTCATTGCAACTGAACAAAACCGAGTACATGTAATGCGAAAAAACAATGACGTCTTTCAGTTCTTCAACACGATATGGCCTCTTGTGAAATGTCCGTTAGAACCGTTATTTGTCACATTGTCTGTCTTCATTCAGCTTCCTCACCAGTCAATTTAACCGGTCGTATTAACGGGGTAATTTTGTAATTTCAGATAGAAGAATGTCTGGGCTTTTGCTCGGACCGTAAAAAAGTGGTCGTAATAAAGGGGTGGTCGTAATAAATGGGTGATCGTATGCCAGTCGTCCACTGTACTTTTTGTCCGATTACTGTATGGCCGGGTTTGAATCGGTCCCATAAAGGCGATTCAGAAATAAACAAAATCAGTTTTCATCTTTAATTCGAATCAATTTAGAATTATATACTTTGTATTTGATTTTAATTGTACTGACTCCAAAAAAAATGTGATTTTGTGAGATAATCTACTTACATTTTAACCACCTTTCCTTCCGATACAAGTAACAAACAAAATCTTACGAGGACATTAGTAATTATTTAAACAGCTACAGGGAAGTATTTGCTCAAGAACGGGCAGCTTTTATGAAAACCTCCGGTACAGTCTTCACGCCGCAACCTGATCAAACATGAAAGACAAAAGAAAAATACACAATTTAACAGAACAAATATCGCTGAAAAACCGATTGTAATCGAAAAGAAATTTAAGGGTGGACAGCTCGCTAAATTAATCCCACAAGCGATGTTTTGAATGGTTATAACTGAAACTGTTTGCAATACCTCGAGAAGAAATAAAAAAAAAGAAAAAAATTTTACCGTTTAGATTGCCCGCCTTCCCTTCTACCTCCTCCGCCAAAAACACAGTCGCCTGAGTTTCACACCCTCATTGTATTTCAGTCACCGGGGTCTGTTGATTGCAGTTCGGTTTTCGACAGTAAACAAATAAAAACCATTTCGTTACGTAACACTGCATTGGAACTGCTAACCTTAGCCATAATCTTACCTGTATATATCAGTATTAACATTCAGAACCAGTAAACCTGCTGTAGCACCCTTTACAATAAGTATTAACAACGTTTCTTACTTGAAAAAATTTAAAACTAATGACAAGTCGCGAACTAACCGTGGGGTTTTCTTTACGAGGAGAGGGGGGGTGACGTAATAAACATTATACTGTTCCAAAATGATAAACCCTTAACGCATATTTTTAACAGAAAAGCTAACCCTTTTCCGTGCCTTCCATTAAAGATAATGGGCTTTCATAGACGATAGAAATGCTCCATGTCGTTTCAAAATTTTCTCTAGATTTAATTTACCTCAAATTCAGTTTAGATGAGTTGGTGCAAGATATCATGAAAGGTCCTTTTAAATACTCAAATGGCAGTTTTCCCAACCATTCCTTACTCTAGAGCTGGTAAAATCTCTACTCTTGTATATACCTGAAGCCTGACAACAGCAATCCTTTCCGAGAGAGCCTCTCCATATGGTGCTCTATATGGAGTGCCCCCTCCTCCGGATGACTGAACTAACCAGTAGCAATTGAACTGGCTATAGAAATTAATAAGGTTTATTCACCATAAATATGGGGGCAATGTTATGGTAACTTTTACAAACACCAACAATGGCGATAGAAGTCTTCCTGGACAAAGACTTAAAGGCAAAGTTTACCTGCTTTTTTCAAAATCGAGTCTCGGAAGCCACAAACATCTGAAAGGTGGAGTTTTCACAAGTTGTTCAGGTTAGCACAAAGCTGGTTATAAAAGACGTTACAGTCGACAACTTCAATTGCAAAATCCGAACCGAACTAGTATTCAACATGTTGTGTTCCATTTTGTTGGCCGTTCTTGCCTCCCAGGTCATTGTCCCTGCAGCAGACGATGACGAGAGCAATGCTATAGAGAGTGATATCTTCTCGATATTATGTTGTTTGTTTTTTCAACTCCTTGCAAAGTTATAGCTAGCCTGTGTTTGGCAACTTTTAAGCTTTTTTTCTCCTTTTTGATCAATTCTAAAAGCAATTCAAACGTTCCAGCGTAGACAGATTCAGAAGATTATCTTTAAACTCAGTTTCGTTTCAGTTAAGAGGTTGCTTGTCTGGTTGCTGCAAATTTTGAAAGTGTCTGGAACCAAAAACACCCGTTCCTAGAGAAAACATCAGTTTTAAGGTATAGTTTTCTCCTTTTTTTCTTTCACAGAATTTTCTGAGCCAGTACCGCTATATATCTCCCTCGCGTTCAGGAAATCATGACGTGGAAACAGCCATCAGAAAATTCCAAGAGTTCACTGGTCTGCCCGTGACTGGCACTGAGTTAGATGAGGCCACTATTGCACAGACAAAGAAGCCACGTTGTGGAATGCCTGATGTTGATGAAGAAGGCCGCGTGAAGAGGTTTAAGACTGGGTCCAGATGGAGCAAGAAACACTTGACGTACTTTGTTGAGCATGGAGTAGATTTGGACCATTCCACTCAAGACGCGGTGTTTGCCAAAGCACTGAAATACTGGGCTGATGTATCAGGACTGTCTTTCTCCAAAGCTTCCAGCGCTTCCTCTGCTGACCTTAGGAACAGGTGAGCATACTTGTAACATTTAGCACATTAAACAGTACAACGTGAAAGTATTTCTCAATAGGTATCATTCAAATGATCATATTAAGTTATAGGGATTCACTGACTTAACTGATGGAATTATTTCGCATGTACCCCATGCATGATTTGCTTTAGCTGACGCCAGTAAAATGGTAATAGAACTTTATGAGACATGACCTGGAGTAAAGACTTCCTCTGGCCTTCTTAGATTATCGAGCCAGTAAAGAAATTGGAAGAGCATGGTGATTTCTCACGTCATGTTAGCTTAGAGCACGCAAAAATTATCACCACAAAAATCATGTACTTAGCAACAACTCTAAGTCTGTTAAGGCGGAGCTCTCTCAATATACTTTCACTGTTTCTTTCTGGATTCTTAGCTTTGGAAGTAAAACTCATGGTGGAACGTCTGAGAGAACATTCGCCTACCCATTCGACGGAAAAGGCAGCGTCCTCGCACACGCCTTCTTCCCCTCAGACGGCCGTTCACACTTTGACGAAGATGAAAGATTCACCGATGGAACATCAAGTGGTACAAGCCTTCTGTGGCCGGGGTTGCTACACATGAATTCGGTCACTCACTTGGTATCCATCACTCTGATGTCAGAAATGTTGTCATGTATCCATACTTCACTGGATATGTACCAAACTTCAAGTTGCAGCAGAATGATATTGATGCAATTCAGTACTTGTACGGTAAGTTATGTTACAAGAGTGTATTTTGACAAGGAGATCGATCGATCGTCAAGTGGAAGCTGTCAAAAACAAAATAAAAAAACCTCGATCCTTTTTTTTAACACCATGACATTTTATGACATTTTCACAAAGTTCACGCTACAATAAGTTGTCAAACGAAACGGAAAATAAAATGTCTGCGGAGCATAAAGCAGCCTGTGGAGTCGCCAAACGAATTTCTCAGGCAAGCCTTTATTAACAAGGTTTTTTATTAAGGTATCACGCGAAGCACAAGAGTGGAGACGACCCGAGGAGACTTTCATATAAAAAGGACGTGGGTGTTCGTCGTAACTTTAGCGGTCAAAAAAGCGGTTTTTAGTACCTCTTAGGGTGTTTAGCTTCCAAAGGTTCACAGTGGCAGCTTTCGCGAATCCTTTAAGGGTATTGAGCCGGAAAAAATATAACGTATAAAATATAAAATATAATAAAATATAATACATGCGATATTAATTTTGTCACATTTACAATCGTCTTTATCGCTATTATGAAAATGTCACTTAAGGACGTTCGCGCGAAAATTTTCCAGTCGATAGATTTTTTTAAAATTTTTACTGCGGTCAGATAATGAGTTACTTGTGTCAGAAATGCAAAAAAGAAGATTCTCCCCCCGGTGGGGGGGAGGGGGGAGATGATCACTGTGTGTCCGGTCTAGTGCCTTGTGTCCTTCAGGGGTAAAAACACAATACACCCACCGGCCGTCCTGCAGGCTGCAAAAAAATGAAAACAGTAATTGAAGATATTTGTTTAGATATTTACGTATTTCCAAGATCTAAATAAGGAGAATTATTTTGTTGTACAGGCAAACCCGGTAATGGAGGAGGAGGAGACAGTAAGTTGCATCGAATGTTTTTGTGACTGGAATAAAAGCAAGTGAAGAATTACTTCTACGACTAGTCAGTAAGAGAAATCTTCGCGGATCACCATCATAGTTTCTCAAAATCATTAACGATTTATAGAGTTGAAACAAAAGAAATTATAATCGTGGCGCTTTTTTGGAGTATCTGATCTCAATTAGCATAGATTTTTTCTGAGATTCGATTGACGAGATACATAAAACGTTCACGACATGCACTGGGCTTGTTTCACCACATTTCTAGCGCCTCGAAGTTCGTCACAACACTCCGCCTAGCATAGTATTTTCTGCTTTCTCCTTGGGGATTAAAAAATGTGGTCAAACACCGTCTTTAGTATTTGATATACTATTTCTTCAGCACCAGGAAGCAAACGCTAAGGACAAAGATTAGAGATTAGCAATAAAAACTCCGATTTTTATACAATTAGCAATTCTGCGATAGTTCTAATGAAAACAAAGTTGCAAATCGTTTATTTCGAAGCGGTCTAATGCCATCAATTATTTTCACGAAACTACCTTATTAAACGCTTAAAACTGAGAGATTGACCACGTTTGTTTGTTTTCATTGTAGCTTGTCAGCATAAAAATGCGAACTGTAAACATTGACAAGTTATTGCAGCCACCGCTCGTACGTAAAAGCTAATTGCGAGAAAACATGCAACCTGTGCTGAAGGTATGTTTACAACAAATAAGCAATTATTAAGCGAGGCTGTTCACAATGTATTGCCAATATATTGCAATATATTGCACAGCGAAATAATTGAGAAATAACAACATTTTGCTCAACCTCGTACAGCTCTTTATTTCACACTTCGCATCAAGTGGAAACCATGTCGGTCCCATAAGCTTCTTTTTCCCTTGATATAATGAAACCTAGACAGTATTATTTACATAATACACATTTTCGATGATCAGTTATGTTCTGTGATGTTATAATAGTTGACAGAGGGGGGAAGCTACAATCATGGACAAAAGTCTTGGGACAAATTTTCACTTTTGGCGCTTTTGCGTACACGCCAGGCGCGAATACAACTTCACCTGCCTAACCTCGCCCCCCACCCCCCATACAATGTTGAAAACTACTACGTGCAATTTCAACTGATTTTCAACATTGTGTTGGGTGGGGAGGGGGGACAGCAACCCATTTATAAAGGATATAGCAGCGTTTTCTTCATACTTCAGTTCTAAAACACAGATAATCCGTTACATTGCATAAGTGTCCCAAGGACTTTTGTCCACGATTGTAGCTATCACCGAAAGACGTTTTCTACGGGCAAACGAGTAAATCTCGGGCACGGTTGTGCAGTTAGAAAGGTATTGTAGGGAACTGGGCACTAATGACAGTGTCATCATACACGCCATGTTAAACGGCACAAACCCTTTTTCCCACTGCTTCTATCCCGCCATCTTTTTGCTTTGTTTTCTAAGCGCATCAGTGTGGCAAAGTATCATTAAACGTAAACTTTAAAAGGTAAAAGATTAGGTCTGCATATGAGTCATGTGGCCCATCAGGCAGAAGCTTATCCCGGTTACCGTAGCATGAAGCGACTAGGAGTATTTCTACCCCTCGTTCCCAGTGCTACTCCCTCCTGGACGGAATGCTCGTCCTTCACAGGGTTGCTCCCAGCATTAAGATGAATTATAAGTATTGCATTGCGCATCCCTACTGCGCACGATTTTCGCGTCATCAGCGCATGCGCGAACAAAACGTAAGAGGTTTCCCTCAAACTAAGCTCGATAGCGAAATAAACGCTCCTTTTCTCTTAAACGAGCACGATGACCCCCACTTTTTATTTCATAATTTCGATGAGAACAAAATCCTCAATAACTGAGAAAAACATTAGCAGAAATCTATGGCTACTTTTTTGGCAAATGAAATAAATACTACAGAGGGAGACATAACGGGCCCAACAGCGCATGTCCAAATTATGTTTCCTTTAAGATTAAAAAATGCGGAGTATTTGAAGACATTTTTTCTGGGACGTAGATGAATAAACAATCAAAGAAAGTCAAACTCTGGGTGATATAACACGCTGCATTGAAAAATAATCGAGCTTATTTGATGCGCACGGAGATTACTAAAAGTCACCTAAATAACCGTATTTGTCAGCATTATAGCGTGAAAACAAACACGGCGACCCCCTCTTTTTACTACATTTTGAATACTCTCCTTGTCCTGTAACAACAGCGTACCAAATCTCATCGGAAATCTATGGCGGGTTCTCTCACTAAGGAATCACCTTAAGTTCGCCGGTACCCATTTATACACCTGGGTGGAGAGAGGCATTGTGAAAGTAAAGACTCTTGCCCAAGAACACAACACAATGGCACGAACCCGGACCGTTCGATCCGGAGACGAGCGCACTAACCATGAGGCCACCGCGTAAACGTTTAGTTAGACTTGTACTTCGTGCTTAATCCCAGGCTCAATAAATATTCCTTTACCATGTGTGGTAACTGCACCACTCTTAAATAACATTTTTTACTTTTGTTTTACTTGCTTATTAGATCGAGCGGTTTTTAAGGTAGTGTCGAATGTAATCAGGGAATTACTTATCTTCTCTTTACACTCCCGAGTAACCTTGGTTAATAGCAGACTTCTTACACAAGCGAAAACATTTCGAAAAAGTGCAATCATGTGTTGGAAAGAATCCAGTAACTGACCTTCAAGCTTGGATAGAAAAAGGAAAAATAAGGACAAGGAATGTGAAAGAAAACGAAAAGAATTTTTACATTAAATCCCATTTCTTTTAGGAAAGAAATCCATAAGATTACAAGAAAACCTTCAGGATTGATCACGCAGAAACAATATTTGGGAAAATATCAAACCAGTATAAAACAGTCTGATTGGTTGATTTTAGTTACTGACGTAATGAGCAAGTGTAATAAGGAATACTATAATCCGCAGGAAGATTAGAGAAATGAACAAAACCAGCTTGTTACTTGTTTAAACAGGTTACGGGAAGCGTTTGCTCAGGATAACTTGACGTTATTATGAAATATTAACAGGCCTCCGTACAGAACGCTTATGCCAACATTTGAACGATAAAAGGAAAAAAAGAGACGATAAAATGATAAATTAAAAACAAACATCGCTGACAAGTGATTGTACAGCAGCAAAAGCAAGATTTAAGACTGAGCAATTTCATAAATTACAAGTAATGTTCTGACGGTTATACAAGAAATTTTTTACGACTATTCTGAAGAAGAACCCAAAGAAATATTCCGTTCTTTACAGCACCCATCTCCTCCTTCTGCTCTCCTGCCAAAGAAACAAATTTACCTCAGTTTTACATCTTTGCGATTATTAACTGAGTTTGTTTCTTTAAACAACTGGAAAACAAATAAAAATATTGAGAAATAATTGGACGGGGGATGTAAATGAAATTTTCATGTGGGGAAGTCAAAACTCTATCCTTTTGAACATTACCTTCCAGAAAATGGTACTTCTTCAGCATGTTTTCAGTTGAAATGCTGCAAATTTTTGTCTAAATTCTTTCTTGAGAAACAGCTTAAAATAAATTGTCAAATGCAAGAAAACTGTTAGCATCAAGCCATCGGCGAACTTATTACTTCAACAAATCATTATGCCTTATTATATATTCACGATAATCATTACTGTTTTAGTTTTAGTTTACAAAAGCTTTTGCAACACTGTATGTATTTATGGTCATACAAATAAAGCTTGCTGTTGTTGTTCGCAATGCTAAATACACAAATAAATACCCAAATAACAGTTACAAGTTTCCACCCTTCAGCTCGTGAAACTGATTCATATCTTTTCTATATCTTCAACCTGAGAAAGAGTCACATTTCGAGCGGGGCCCCCGTGTATAGCCCGTTATAGGGAGTACCCCCCACTGGTCGATGCAATCTTTACAAACATTGAAATACCGAGAAGGAGACCAGAAGGCCTCCTGAAAAAAGACTTGAGAGCCAGGTTTACTTTTCATGATTGGTAAGCCTAACATCTGACAGGTGAGTTTTGCACAAGTTGTTCAGGTAAGCACATAACGAGTTATAAAAAAGATTACAGTGGATAGCAAACTTCACTTACAAAACCCGAACCAAGCCAGCACTCCGAACATGTTGTGTTCAGTTTTGTTGGCCGTTCTTGCCTCACAAGCGATTGTCTTTGCAGCAGATGATGACGAGACCAGTGCCTTAGTGAGTAATTTCTTCACAATGTTATGTTGTTTCTTTTTTCAGCTCCTTGTAAAGTTATAGTTAGCCTGTGTTAAGCAATGTTTAAGAGCAGC